CATCTTTTTTTTCGCTNGCGACTTTCGCTTCGCTGCAAGAACTTTTCTGGAGTTTTCGAACTCATTGTCTTTGGATATGTTAAATGGATATTTCTTCTAAGTATCGCTGTAAGCTTATACTGGGCTGAAAACTGGAAACGTGTCGCTGGCTCTTATCCTTCTCCGTTTTTCCTCCGTGCGTTCAAACAAATTTCGACAAAGTGGTCAAGCTCGGACGCAGGTAAGCTTTCAATTTTCTCATTTTTCATACCATTAGCTTCAATGTAGCGGAAAAGAGTGTTCATATCAGTAGCCGTCTTCTTGTTTGTGTTTGCAATTTTCTGTTGGTTGATAAAATCGTCTTTGGCCTCCTGGCTTTCGGTGATGCCTGTTTCAATTTCTACATCAAAAGTTTCCAGATCTTTAGGATAATACTGAACTTGCTCGGAGAATGGTCGTCTTCTTCATCCATCTTTGAAATCTCAGTAAAATTTCAATCTTTTTAGCTTTTTCTGGTAGTTTCGCAATGAAGAATGACAATATTCACATCTTTTTTTTCGCTGTTTTGGTTGCAAATTTGAATTTGCCGGCTTTGCAACAAAACAAAACTACACGGCTTAGACTGTTTCCATGGAAACGGGCTGTACTGCAAAATCCCGACCGAGAGAGAACCAATCATTAGACCCCGCTGTAACGGCAGTCGTCGGTCAACATTCGCGGGTAACAGTGCACTGTTACCCTCTGACGTCATAGATTTTTTGCAATGTTGCCCGCTCAGAAATTTTGGCGGAAAACAGTTTCATTATTAGATGTCACGTGACTTCGAAGCAACCAATAAGAGCGCGCGCTGTAGGTAAGAAATTTCCAGCTATTTTAACAATCGCAAATATTGATCATTCGCCTATTATCTGCAAACAGGTAATAGGATTTTAATGTTCAGAAGGTCCTGTTAAGGAGAGGGCTCATGCAAATAAGATTTGCAGGTTTTATTAAGTTTTAGCAGAAACTCGCAAGGGGTTGAAACGTGTAACTCGCGTTCAATGCTCGTGAATATTCACTTTTACCATATTTGGAAACCTTAGTGACAGATAGCCATTTTCAACAAAATGGCCGCCGAGCGATCACCATGCAGATGTTTTAAGACAAGGGTTAGGCATTTCAAGGTTAAAAATACACGGTTAAAAGACAAAAAAGGGAAAGAGAAAGCTCAAAAGAATGCTCAGTTTTTTTTGTGTGTATGGAGGAAGGGAAGCTTTTCATCAAGAAATCGTCCTTCAAGGAATTCAACCTTGTTTTCTTCACGACGGTGCGCATGGTCTGTTTTGAAATGTAAACAAGGCAGTGAAGTTTTTGCTGAATTTTCAGGTACATTTTGCACTCTATGGCCAAGATAATTACGTTTTTGAAAGGGAATTTATGTATTTTTAAATGTTTCATAGACGTTTTATAAATTTTTCACTCCGGCGCTAAAGAAAAATTACAAAATGTGCCCCGATTTGAGATGGATTTTGTGTTGAATTTTGCCATGTGCTCAGCCGATTTCACTTGCGTGAACGGATCCACGATCCAGATAGTGTTTTCCGAATTGCTTTAAAGGATTAACTTTTCGGATTTTGAAAAAAAATTTTCATGAAACGGCTTCTCTGTCTATTGTTTCGAGTTTGTTCATTCATAAAATTAGCTCAAAACACGATCGTGACTACAACATCCAAGCTGAATTTAAGCGTAAATGCTTCTCACATTCATTACACGCATCTTTTTTTGCGAAGATGTCAGGTTCAGGTTTTGGACACTTTTCGATACGCAGCTAATGAATTTAGACTTTTAATATAAGAATTTTAAAACCTATTTGCAGTATCAGTATAAGTTTACTGTGTAGAGGGTCAACAAGGCATCGTTTTTTGAAGTGACAACTTCAAGAAGTTGCGAGGACGTCAGTGGGTTTCATAACGTTACGTTTGGCCCAGGTGGTAAGGCAATAATATATTCCTGCTCAGTGTTTGGGTACGATTAATGGTTTCAACCTTTGAAAGCTTTCTCGGCTTTTGGGAGTTTTTCCCCCGTTTGTCGGCCATTTTTTTCAAGCGGGCGCGGGAACCTGAAGTAAAATTACGTCACGTTTTTTTACGAAGTTTGATTGGTCATTTATCTCTTCTTCTCGTTCCAAATATGGTACTTTCGAAAATGAATAATCACGAGCATCGGGCAGAGCAAACATATGAGAGTTACACGTTCCAACCCCTTATGAGTTTCTAGTTCTAGGCATGCGCAACATTAAAGACAAAACGTTTTTGAATCCCCAAGGGAGATCACTCCTTAATCATAGAATTCGAATGAAGAGTCTGCTTGCAACTGCTTTTCGATAAGATATGCCACATTCTTTACTGGGATACTAGAAAAACCTGCACTAACGTTGAACCACCTGAGATCCTTCATTTCTTCAATCATGTATAAGGCCGCTCATGTTCACCATCAGGCGTTCATTTTTTCTTTCCCCGATCAGCGCGGAAAGCAGCGCAGTACAGCCAATCGTTTCAAGCTAATAATAGGCAGGCCATTAGTATATGTAATAGGGCTACATGCTGTCCAATTTCGAAATAATTGGATGAAAAAAATTCCGAGGACACCCAAAATACGGCCTCGTCCAATTTGGCCGTCAGAGGATTTTTTTGAATTCAATTATTTCCAAATTGGACAAGCATGTAGTCCTCTTACTTATTAATTATATAGCTGGTTAGTTAATCCAGATTTTTTAGGGTGTCACAGACGCGGAATATCGTACATTAGAACCCGTCTGCTTGTAGTTGAAACAAAAACACACTGTAAGATCTAGAAATGATTATTTTTATAGTGTCATTCAACTTATTCTTTACAAGTAAACAAACGTAGAACTAGTCTTGCTCTTTCATACTTTGGCATTATTTTTGTTGCCGATTGAAATTTTGGAAGCTTCTTCGATGATTGAATGATACGGTACTGCTACAGGTGAAAACCGCGATTTCGAGAGCAAAGAAGACAAAGCAACAACGCAAATACTTAATTTAAATACAAAAACTATTGAAAATAAGCATTTCATTCGTTACCTCAAACGATTTCCTCAGACTTTGTCCGTTTGTTTTTGTAATGCCAACATCTAAACACAAGTATCAGTGTTTTCTTGTCCAAAGTTTCAGCGCTCAGTGTACATTTTCAAGAATCTATGGGTTGATTGTTTCCGATACAAGCTTTCATCAGTTTGGTCATTCATTTTCCTTTTAAATGGCCCAGACAAGAAGCCATAAAAGAGCAGCAAAACAAAACGACATTATTCACAGCAACAAGAAGCCAAGAGAGTTCGCCGACGAACTGCCGTCAGCCAACGAAATTTTTTTTGGCGCGTTGTCACATAGACTTTGCGCTGATTGGCTAGTTTGATTGGCATTGCCTATTGTATTTTCTGGCATTTGATTGGCTTAGACCAGCTGTCCTATTTTTCTTAAATTGGACAGTTTGCCTATTTGTAAGGGAAAGCCCTATCTGAATCTATCCAAGTTAATCCTTAATTGGACAGTTCGTAAAAATTAAAGGATAATACCTTTGCTGACAACATCGGATTTACTAACTAAGATTTCAGCGATCGATCTTACGGTAGTAAGGTACAAGAGGTCTTACGATAAAGAGCGTCTTTTTATCTTTTCGGCAGAGTGACAAATAATCCCACCTTCATCTGCTGACATGGAGTTATTCCTTGCATCGTTTCTGTGATTTCTGGAAGTCCACTTGTCTATCATTTCGTGTAGAAAAAAAAAATAATACAAAAGAAATTATTGCTTAAGGAGTGTCTTAACGTCTGATATGCTTTCTGCTTTACCACCCACTGTTTTGGTCAATCTTAATATCAGAGCAAGAATGAATAGACCTACATCAGCCCTAGTGTGAGGTATTCACTCACAATTTGTGCTTTGTCACGTCCAAACTTGACAAAGTACTCTTGCTGGTTCTTGTTCTATCAAAAAACGCAACAGCCCTCTATGGAAGCAAAAAGGAATGAATCTTTTCTTAGCCGGCTTGAGTATAAATGATTCCATTCCTTCGCTCATGCAATTCACTGACAATTCACAACAGCAAGTGCAATCAACACTTCCTTCTAACCTTACAGCAAGATTCTTAATACGATCGCTTAATACATGTTTTCACAACTTAATACATGGGAGAAATTTCATGTCATAATCAGCTGTCCCCACTAATTTTTCGCCTTCCTGCTCCCCATAAATTATACCACACTGCATAAGTTAACCACACCAGCAATTCGACCACGACGAGTTGGTCCTTAGGATTGGGTCAGCCTCTGCGCTTTTTCTGCAGGTCGAGTTTCGAATTTACAATTTTGTTTTGGAATAAAGGCTTACCTCAAAATCCATTAGGAAATGCGTACAAAAATTTCAAAAATTGTCATTGAAATTCTGCTCAACAAACTAACATTAATCTAAGGAATGATGCTTTCTGCCATAAGCTCAACTGTTTATGTATCATTCCTATTGAGCAATATATTTACGCTGATGAAAATTTATATACTGGTAAGGAAAAAGCATTCCAAAATGAGTTTTGGTTTCCTAAATAAATACAAAAAAGAACAAACTAGTTTGTCCTCTTTCAAACATTATTCAAACATTTTGACTGCAATCATGACAGATGTCTAGATATAATCACTTTAAAGTAGAAACCATTTCCTTTACAATTGCTTGTGACATGCACCTTAAATGAAGCTGATTTAGAGTGTGGATTATAATTTCTTTCTGTATACCCAATGGTAAAGAACTGAATCCGAGGCAAAAGCAGGATAGTTTACATATTGCCACACACGAGGCCTGATTTATTCACGTCCTGTTAATAACAATTCAGATAAACAGTTAACGATGTGTAAATAGTTGGCAATAAAAAGGGTGAATTGAAAGTAAAATATGTCAAGGGGTATTGCCGTGTCAAGATAATGCCAGAGCAAAGTGCATTTAGAAAAATATATATTTTTTTGTGATGAAAGGATGCTTACATCTAAGGTGACCGTGGTCATTTTCGCTTTGATTGGAAACTTGGCAAGATGTTCGTGTTGGGATCGAGCCACAAACGCAAGATATTTCGATGGAGCAGTGTTTGTCCGTCACAAAAGTGCGCTGAAAACCGACATAATAAGAAAAATGAAAATTGTTAGTGAGATAAAATGCAGTCAAGCTTGTCTGTCGGAAAACAGCTGCGTTTCACACACATACTGTCGAACACCAAGCAGCCCTGATAAGGGAACATGCTACTTGCATCAAAACGGAATTCCCGAAGGCGAGGCCAGCGTTCTTGACAAAAAAGACAAATGCATCTATCAACAATACATTGGCTTTACCGTAAGTAACTTTTACGATCGATTACTTTTTAAACAGTTTTACAGTATATCTGTTTAAAATTTTACTCCACGTTGGAAGGAAAAGTTCGGGTACTATCTTAACAAACCATGACGCTATGATTTCGAA